GAGCTAATATCTACAACATATACAATGCCTCATCTGGCATCACAGATGCAGGTCAAGGCCTTCAAGACCTTCTCTCTCTTACACACATCACAGAGACCATCCTCTGGATGGCATTAGAAGACTTTAATATTAGACACACAGCATGAAACTCTACAACTGATAGACATTCTCAAGCAGAAGAGAATCTGTATAACTGAGCAATCTCTCTGAAACTCCAGCTTCTCAACTCAGCTGAATCCTCTACACATAGACAAGAAGACACACTTGATCTTGTCTTCTGTGCTGCCAACTCAGCTATCTGTCATATTGCTTCTGAACTGCACTGCATCTCAGATCATGAAACTCTTATCACAACAGTTCAATTATCACAGACTCAGACTCAATTGATTAAGAAGAAGAAGCTTAACCTCATGATCTGTGATGCTGATTGCTTCTTGCAACTACTCACTTTCTTCTTCTCATCAGTCTATGAGAATGTGAATGAGAAAGCAGTGGACATCATGAAATCTCTTCAACTGGCTTTACAAGGCTTCTGCTCTCTCACCTCAGGACTCAAGAGTCATCATGCCTCATGGTGGACCCCAGCAGTCAAGATAGCCAGAAGAGTATATCATGCAGCACATAGACACAGCCCTTGTCAATCAGAACAAGTGACATTTCAGATGGAAATTAGAAAAGCTAAGAGAGCATGGAATCACCAGCAAATTGAGAAGGCTTTCTTCTTATCAGATGTCTACAAAATTGTCAAATGGCATAAATACCAACCTCAAGACTCCACTCCTTCTTTATGACATTCTGATGGACATCTAGAACAATCTTGTGCTGGCAAATCTTCTCTACTGTGTGAGACACTTCTGACCAGACATCTTGACACAGAAGATATCTCAGAGCATACACCAACAATCTCATGCAGAGAGATACCCTGGATGCCTCTTACAGAGCAGGAAGTCTACAGAGCTATCTGCCAGACACTTAGCACATCTTCTGACCTGAATGACATTACAGCCAAGGTTCTTCAAAAGGCATGGTCAGTGATAGACAATTGAATTATTCTACTCTTTCAACACTGTATAGATCAAGGAATTCACTCTCAGAGCTTCAAGAAGACTGAGATGGTGATTATTTCAAAGTCAGAGAAAAGAGATTACTCTCTATCAAAGTCTTACCACTCAATTGCACTGCTATTCTGCCTCAGCAAAGAGCTGAAGTGTCTGATAGCTAGATGAATGTCTCATCTCACTCTTCATCATCACATTCTAGCAGAAGATCAGTGTAGTGCTGTTCAACAGAGATCTGCAGTAGATCTCATCACTGCACTAGCCTGTGACATACAAGAAGCATGAGACAAACACCTTCTGACTGACATGATCACTCTAGATGTTAAAGAGATCTTTGACAGAGTCCTTCAAGACCAGCTTCTAAGACATCTACAGGAACAGAGCTGGCTGGCAGTTCTGATAAAGTGAGTAGTGTCTTTCCTCAATCAACAACTAGCTTTGATTCAACTAGACAGTGTTCAATTGAAGATGTTTCAGATTCTCTGTGGTCTTTCACAGAGATTCTTCATCTCATCAATTCTTTTTCTGCTCTATGTAGAACCCCTTCTCCAGCTTATCAAAGACTGATTTGAGTATGCAGATGACATTGCAATCCTGGAGACTGGAAGCTCCCTTGAGTGAGTAGGAAGTCAGCTTCAGAATTCTCTCAACCACACTCTGAAATGAGATATTGACAATGAAATCTCATTTGACCTAGTCAAGATGAAGCTTCAATACTTTCATAAAAAGATCAAGTACTCAGAGCCCTTCATCTTCTTTAATGAACAGACAATTTCCCTCAATAACTACATCAGATGGCTAGAGGTTTTCTTTGACAGAAAGTTACTCTTCAGAGAACATATTCACCTTGCATGAACTTGAGCCAGAATTGTTACAGAACACATTAAATCACTAAATGAAGTCTCATTTGAAAATCAAACACATTTGCTCAGACAAACAACTCAAAGCTGTGCCTTCAGCACTCTGTTTTATGAAGCTGAGATCTGGTTCTCAAAGCAAATCTCTCAGACAGTCATTGACAAGATTCAGATAGTCTTCAACAACACTGCTTGAGTCATTCTATCTGTCTTTGCCACAATGCCTATCTCTGTTCTTCTATGTGAATCAAGCTGAGACTCAGTCAAAGCCTGGCTAGAAAGAATATATGACTGACTAGCTGTTCATGTAGCTGCAGCTGATCTGTCACATCTTCTACACTGAAGATGATACATCTCACATTTTAAATGAATTAGATGAAACATTAAAATGATGATCATCACACCCAGCTCAGAGTTCTTGCCTTCTTGAGACAATTCTGGCATATCAAATAGAGAGCAAAAGACACTAGAAATTAAGACTGTGAGACAAGCTGCAGAACCAGCAGCTTTTCAAAACTGACTTCAGAAAGCTGTATCCTCTCTCAATCTCATCACATACACTGATGGCTTCAAAGACAGTCAAGAAGTTTCAGATGAAGGCTACTGTCTATACTGAGAAACAAATCAATCTCTGAAGCTTGATAAGCTGTCTCTGGACCACACTACTGAGGTCTTTGATGCTGAAGTGCTTGCAGCAGTTGCTGATCTTGAGACAGTGCTACAGAATCCCTTCTCTATGTTCACACAGCACATTATAGTGACTCTAGACAATGAAGAGGCTGCAATAAGACTTCACACAAACACACTCACATGAACATCTTTTCTCATCTTTGCTAAGTTCAATGAACTCTGCAGATTCTGGACAAAACAGAGCTCAGGTCCAGCCAGTCTGAGACAGGTCTATGTTCAATGATGCTCCAGTCATGCTGGAATTCCAGACAATGATGCTGCAGATGCTGTGACCAAGTCAGTCTGCACAATGAAATGCACTTACTGCACTCTGACCCTGGCACAGATCAAATTCTATGCTAAAGAATGCTTCAATACCTCATTGCAACAATACTGAAGCTTCAATAGCACATCACAATACAAGAACCTCAATATCTCAATGTCAAAAGAACACTTCTCTGAGCTCACTCTTCTCTGAAGGAACCTAGGTCACTTGCTGGCAGCTAGAACAGATCACAGTGACTTTGCAGCCTATCATCACAGATGAGCACATGATGACACACTTCTCATCTGCTCTTGCAGCTGAGATAAGACCTCTGAGCACTTCTTCTTTTGCTGGAAAGACCAGAACATTGAATGAATTAAAACCTCTGAAGCATGCTGAGAATCAAAGAAAGCAATTGACTGACTTCTCAGCACAGTAAGAGAAGCTACAATCTTCTCTATCTGATACACTAATACCCACTTCTTCATTGACATTCAATGCTGCTACTAGAACCTGTTCAACATCTGACTTCTCTCTCCCTCTCTCTCTTTTCTATGCTTCTTATATACATTTCTCATCATCTCTACACATCACTCTAGAAGTCCTTGGCTTCCTCAGTCCTGTAATCTTCAGCTACTACACCATTCAGAACCTCCAGGACAGAGGCTACTCTGTACATAGACTCTCAAGAGGGCTTCAGCTGACTAGACATGTCAGACAGCAGACTAGCTGCTGCACTGGCACGTCTGATACCCTTAGGGAGGTGCTGTGGCCGCGACAGCAGACTATTCTTAGTCAGCTGATCACGTGCCTCCAGGTGTTAAATAAGTAATAATAATAATAATAATAAGAGTCCCACAATGTTAACAAGATTGATATCGGTCCTCTAAGAATATATTCAGCTACTCATCTTATTCCTACATTCTAATCCTCAGTTTAGTATTCTCGTCGCAGCTATCTAGTAGATAGATGAATTGAGCTTTTGTCTTCTATATCATCATGCCTCTAGATTGAGCCATGACAATTATGAGTGAGTGAACAGCAGTAAAAGTCATTTTAATTATTCAGATCTAGAATTTATTAAACTATCATATTCTTATCTGTTTCAATCAAATTTTGTTTTATATTGTACATAAATCCATTCCTGAAAATCAACCATTGAGTTTCTTTGCAAGAGTAACGTGACAAGTGTTTCTTGTAAGAGGAGAAATTGTAAGTTCAATTTCTGCCCTCTATTTCTATAGAGTTTCTTGTATTTATCTTGCAAATTGATGGCATAATTACGTTAGGGCTGTGTGCTGGGTTTTATTTTAGTCTGAAGTCACACCACTTCAGAGTTACGTTAGTTTCCATGGCTCCGGGTCTCTCAAAATAGGAAAATTGGCACAAGCATCCAGATATCCGAAACCACTTTTAGCAGGGCAGAGCTCTGAGATTTCTGGGATTGATCTAACTAACTATCTGTTATTAGTTAAAAGACTGAGGCTATGGTCATTTGTTGAGCCCCGGCTCTCTCCAGTATTAAAAGAAGGCGGAGACACACGTAGAGCGGATATCATTGAGTCTACGGGTAAAAGCCCTCTCTTTTCTCACGTGTGTGCTTTATTTCGACAGTGATCATTCAGACTCCACCGCATTTCTCGGCGCAATACCTGACACGAGCTGCTGAATAGCTGGTTCGTAGTCAGCCTAACTTGTTCACTTAACGTTAGTTAAACGGCTTAATGCCCGCTCGTTGGACTGCCACTCATCTAGAAAAAATCTACCATAATACTCCGTACAAAACCGCCGGTTGGGCCATTTTACAACGGGTTAGGTGGAATGTGTGACTGTTACTCATTTACCAAGGCATTTACAGATTACCCTCCGCTTAGTTACGATGTTCTTTGAATCTGGTAATGGATCACGGTGCGAGACGATCATGCCATCCGGTATCTGAACACTGCATAGTTATAGCCGGCTATCAGCCTCTCCAGAGCCCTCTTTTCTGTCGAAGAATCGATTATTAGACGCTCTCTATCTTACTAGGATCCTAGGAACTGGACATCCAGCTTCGAAATTGACGAGATATCGATTTCCCATCGTTTATCGTTGTTGCGAGTTCTTTTGTTTTCCGGCTTGCTATCAATTCACACTCTCATCTATCTGAACATGGTGACAATTCAAGAGCGAATTGCGGCCTTGAACCAGGCGCATATTGAACGAGCACCCGGTGCTTTTTCTTCTCGGGAAATCAAACCAGATCTGCCTGGCCCTAGACCTCCCATTTCCGAGAGAGACATTCCCAATGCCAACCATGATTCCCGCTCCTCCTACACCTCAGTTAAAGATCATATTATACTTCCCCCACCGACGATCACTAGGGCGGGCCAGAAGGTCCCTACTCCCCCACAAAGGCCAAAGAAGTCACCGCCTCCTCTGCCTGCGAGAAAAGCTACGGCTACGGCCCAGTTACCTCCGCTGCCTCAGCGCAAGTCATCCGATATCTCTCACCGGAGAAACTCTGGCGATTCTTCAATCTCCACCCCCTCCATATCCGCAAACTCAACAACTTCAACTGGAAATGGCAGATCACCTCCTCCCAGGTCAATCTCGTCTGAAAAAACAGCGACCTGCAGGCTGGCACCAGAATGGGGAGAAATTTCCCTTCCTCCATTGCCTCCAAAGAGAAATGGGAATATAAATGGAAACCAGACGCTGAGATCTCAATCGTCTGTGGGGGGCCTTGATTCGGATTGCCAGCCGTCGTCCACCTCTGTCTTATCCGTTGCACAGAAGTTACCCATTCGGTCAACTTCATCTTATGCCAATGGCCTACCTCCTCTTCCATCGCGGAAATCTGCGAATGATGATTTTGCCAAGCCCCCTCAGTTACCCCAGCGAAAAATCCCCCAACCTGTCCCTCCATCTAGCGCCCTTGAGAAGATAAAGGCGTCGTCCTTTGCTACTATAAAAAAACACTCAACAAGTCACGAACCGGTAACCGATGGCTGCGAATATGTCCAACAGGCCAATTGCTCAGCCCCTCCTGTACCAATCAGGTCTCGTCCTGATTTGTCGAAGATACAAGCAACAAAACCACGCATTCCTCTCTCCCCAGCTCCTGCTACCGGCTCGTCAGATCTCTGTATGATATGCCGTGATTTTTCTGGCCCGGATAATCACGCAGCAAAATTCCCCAGGCAATCACTTCCTACGAATGATCTTGCCAGGCTCGCCAATCAACTCACCGCTCCTTTCCCATCTCTCACGGATAAAGCCCGTGCGATATTTACCTGGCTCCATCATAACATCGATTATAATGTTGACGCATTTTTTAATAATAACTTGACACCCTCAACACCAGACAGCACCTTTGCCACCGGCCTGGCAGTTTGTGAGGGATATGCTGAGCTCTTCGAACGGTTGGCGACGTTTGCTGGATTAGAGGCCCGAATAATTTCAGGCCATGGCAAAGGCTACGGCTATACTCCACTTCCACCAGGCTCCCCAATACCTCCATACAACGGTAACCATGCCTGGAACGTGGTGCGCATTGACAACGGACGCTGGAAGCTCATCGATGCCTGCTGGGGTTCCGGAAATGTTAGGGGTAAAGGTCAACCGTACAACAAAGAATTCACCCCGGAGTATTTCACCATGACCAACGATGAGTTCGGCAACAAGCACTTCCCATCCAATCCGAGCGATTTTTACCGTGATGACGGCCGTCCATGTATATCCTGGGAAGAATATATGAGCATTAACCCTTCCATGCCAAATGGTGTTGAGCCTCCTATCATATATACTGGTGTAAAAGCGGAACTTGGAATTGGAGAAAAAACACTCCTGCCGCGATCGAAGAAAATTTCCATTCACCAACAATCCCCGATACGGTTTCAATTCGGCCTCCTTTGCGAACACTGGACGCTGGCGCGAAGTAATATGCAGACTCCGTATCTCTTCATTCTAATGGCTAATGGTATTGATGGACGCAATAAGGAATATCTTCCCTTCCATTATGTACGTGGATCTGGTCCAGGTGCTGGCGGGGACATTTGGTACCTCGATGTCCCCAATCCTCGTATCTTGGGTGCCCCGGGACAGAAACTGCACATCTACAGGGTGACGAGTTTTGGAGACATGCGGGATACTCAAGGTCTTACCAGAGAGGAGTTCCTCCGTGGCATTGGAAGGGTGGCTATGGGATTTGGGGGCGTTGCGGAGTGGGAGCTTATATAATCAAGCATCAATGATCGGCTGGTTTCTGGATACGATTTTTTGTTGATTGTTATGCAGGTGTCCGATTCTCTTGGTTTCCACCTCACAGTCTCGTAGGTAATGCCCTTTTTATGAGTCTAGAATACCTCTTCTGCGATATCTTTAATCCACGTTTTTATAGACGGCGAGTAGAGCTCTTGGAATGCGACAAGTTCGCCCGCATGTTCCTTGCTGAATACTCGACTGTCCTGTTTGCATTATCCGCCTATATCAATTTTACCTACTCATTTTATACCATTCACATCCGGTATTTGGGCTAATTGAGCTCAACTTCGGTCGATAGCACTGAAATTCATTCATAAAGCATTTTTTGATACGATTCTGGTCATAAATCAATCCACTCCTAATAGTGCATTGCCAATATTAAAATAATTAGTTTGAAAAAATTAGTGAAAAGCTTCCCTAACTTCTAGGCTTTTCATCGACAATTTGCTACATAATTTCTTAACTAGACGAAGCCTAACGTTAACTGATCCTCTGGCGTTAACAGTTTGGTGGTTTACAGGTCATAGGTGTTTCCGTCCAGTGTCAAGCTTACTTAGGTAAAGAGATACATATATAGATATGCCTAGGTAAAGAGTGCTGCTCTCAGAAACCGGTCTCGACTCCAACTGCAGCTCTATCACCCACAATGCCAACCATCGGAGAATATTATCAACAGGAACCGTGGACTGCTATTATTTTGCGAGACGCAACAATTAAATCACCCATGTCGTTTTATTCTATGATACTTGCTTTGAATTATCACTTCACCATCCATTTTCCCATGCGAAAGAATAACCTCCACCCACTCCTCATCATCATCCGATTTCCTTACATGCAGTATATGCCCATGAGCCGCCGCCTCTTTATCAGCATGTGCTCACATAACACAACCAGGTTTGTTTGGACCTGGGAAGACCACTAACTCCCTCGCCCCATTATATACTCTGACATCATGAGCGGTATCACCCGCCAAATACATGCATTTCTCTGAATCAATACGTACCAGGAGATTCAAGTGGCCGGCAACATGGCCTGGGGCGTCGATGATAAATACAGATCCGTCCACAAAGTAGTCCATGGCGGCTGGCAACGGCCCAAGAACTTGACAGGTCTGGCTTTTCCCACTTGAGGGTAACTAAATCAATGATGATGGTGATGACTACGGAGAAGGGTGTTTGACGGTCCGTTGCAGGGGAAGAAGATTTTGAATCAAAGATCGAATCTGGATCTGCCGGGTACGTGTTTGGGCGGCGCAAGCAGCGCGTTCATTGCGCCTGGTCCAATGACGAATTTTGTCTTGGGCGCTGAGAACTTCGACGGGTGCCCGACGTGGTCATAGTGCAGATGGGAAAAGATAACCACGTAAATGTCCGTTTTTAGGTCTATGTTGGCGTTTGCGAGGCTATCAAATACATCCTCCTTAACATTGATGATTACTCGTGCGCGAATTCTTTCGGCTACAGGAGGGATATAGTTCTCCGCATCCTCGCGCAGGCCTAGGTCGAATATCATTTTTTGTGCCCATCGGTTTATGCGTGAGTAACCATGACATTGAGGGACAAGTCAGGGTCTCGTTTGATCCTAGGACGAAGTGTTCGCCACGGAGGTGGATGTGGCCACTGGATAATAGGAAGAGATCTACGACTGCGTTGTTGGAGTTGCTTTCAGCAATTGCTAGGTTGCTGCCATCGCATTGTTTGGATGATTGTTGGGGTTCGGAGGACAGCTTGGACGGCGTGCAAAAGATTATGAGTTGAATAACAAGTTGGTAAAATGATATGATGTATGATGCTGGGTTGATCTGTTACGGCTTTTCGAGTCAGAGGACAATATCGCTTTCCAAATCTTCCAATCCGCGAGGTTATGACTCCCAATTTGCTATACGAGCCAGCGATGACATGTTGTAGGGAAATGCCCCATATGGATATGTACTCTCTAGCTATCGTATTGAAGCAACCGATCGCCCCGAGCAATATCCTCAGATGACAGAAAGTTGAAACTCTTCATGAATCGGGTGATTTGTCATTTTATTGTATAGCATACGCTACGACTTCGAGCTCCAGCGCTGAACTCCTCAATTGATAATGTAGTGAATTTCTGCAACTGGGCTGTAAGATGTATATAGTTTACTAACATCCATTTGTGATGCGACAATAGCAGCCTGATATTTTTCATTGAGAGCGGAGAGGTGACATATCTCTATTGAACTTCTGAGATTATACTAATAAGTAATTAAAGATTAATTCTCTAAACTTAAAAGTATTCTAAGGATAAATATAACTCCAAATTAGAATTAATCAATTATTATTATTATTATTATTTTAATCTAAGATTAATTAAAATTCTTTTTATCTTTCGGTTTCGACGAACGATCACGAAAATCCTGAGTACATGACTCCTTAGGCGGTGCTGCTGCTGTCTGTTTATTCTGAGTTTAATTCTATCTGAGCTCTCCTGTGCGTCCTCCAGCGGTCGGGTGCATGTTCAGAACAACTTACTGAAGGTTGTGCTCGCTCAACAATGCATATCAAATACATTGAAATGCCAGTCCAATGCTAAAAAGAAATTAATATAGATTATCCCTATTATTCTACAGAGGTCAACATATACCCTTTCTTCCATCCGATTTCTTTAACCCTGAGCCTACTTAATATTCAACAAGGAGAAGTCATCTAATACTATGGAATTCAACCTCCCCACCAAGACTCGCTATCAAGTGGCTCAAAGATGACAACAACCAGAGTATAGGGCTTGTGACATAGATGCGCCGCATTTACAGCTCTCCAGCCCCTGCTAGACAGCGTGCTTGTAGTGCAACCTATTAGGGACACTCAGTGCACCTTCGGCAGTGCAACACACCTAGATGCGGTTATGCACATATGAGTAAACTATGATCTACGCACGATTCAGGGGCATCGGGTTAGTGTGATATTTGTAATGTGCGACGGTTCTGACAGGGTGTATGCGGAGAGGTGGAAGCTATTTCCATTTCTGCGGCATGAGCAGGAGTGCATCCTTGGGTTCACATGTGCCCACATCTATTTTCATATGAGCGTTAGCAGAAGCAGAAGTTGTCTGGTCTTCCAGCCATCTTAGAGGAGCAGTCGACGTTTTTCCATGTGGGTTAGTCAAGACTGGCGGTGGGATTGACCTGAATATCAGCCAAGGGCAGGACTTAAAGGTTGTGTTCCACAATCGTCTCACAATCATAATTAAGCATTCGAATGTCCCGGGATACGATGGGCTGTTTCGATACAAGTGTCGAAGCCTAGAGATTTTACACAAAGTCTCGCCACTTCCCTTCGTCTGGTGACTCTTTCTTCCATGCCTCGCGAACATAGCACAAATTCATTCGGTCTGGAGGCTTGAGTCCGGTGGGCAGAATTGGGAGAGGGCGCAACGGCCAATTATATATATATATATATATAAAGAAAAAAATTGTAAATCAACAAGACAAAGGTGCCAAAGAGAGTAGACCACTCAAGTTGCGGAACACTGTCGCAATTGTTTGAGTGGTAGATTTCATGGTGAAGTGCCGCCTAGATGTTCAATATCCTCCATTGGGCATCCTAGATCCAGGGACCCAAAGCATTCCACTGGAGAGAGTTGATGATGTGGTTAGCCGAACCGCGTTGTGGCCCGGGCTGGTTTTATTTGGTTCGTAGGGGTCTGATGATCTCGAATAAACCCTGGAACTAGCAGACTCAGGGTGGGAGCCCCCTCAAACACCCTCAATAGCCTTAATCCTAGTCGCCCGCAATGAGACTTAACCACTGGGTGTCAGTTATGACAAGCTTTACGCAATAACCGAACATGGCCTTAACTGTGAAGTCTGTCAGTTAACCAATGAATAACCACTCAGATGATCGGGTTCTTGGTTAGCTGATGTTCGAAACTAACTTGCATCCGCTGGACAAGCAATTTGCAGATTGAGGCGAGTTGTTATGCTTGAAAGAATGCTGAGCAGCAATCAAGTAACATGATGAAAATTTCATAGTCCTAGCAAGCCGTAAATGGGTTGCTGTTTCATTTCCGTTCCTTGGATTTGCACATGCTGTTCATGGTTTAGTTGTCTGTGCATAGATATACAATGGCATGATTGAGTAGGCGTATCGACCGATTTTGCATCTAGCTTCTAGTGTGTAGGATCCATCGATCCCCGCAGGGAATATGCATATCATCAATGCCTAAGATATGGCGGATGATTTCAGTGGCTTCAAACGTCGGAGTCAGTGCTGAGAGCTTTCCAAGTTAGCTACAGGGGTGAGGGGCGCAAGTACTGTAAAGTAGCTGTTTACACTTCATCTGCTTTTACAAGACAGTAAGTATGCTTTTGACTTCCGTTTCGTCTCTCCCACCAAAAAGATGAAGTGAGATGGTTGTTTCGTGCTTGAAACGCGCACTACTTGGTGCTTTCAAGCGGCACCCGCTCCGCCTTGAGCCTGAGTGGTTGGAGGGAATAACATTAATCCGCGGATATTGCGCCCCGGTGAGCTCCAGAATATCCGTGTTTTAATAAGTATAAAGGGGAGATATACCTCGTCGAGACGTCAAGGTCATGGAGGAATTGGATTCAAAGCACCTAACTTCGTTTAAGTGACCAAATAAATTTTCAAAGAGCTGAAGGATGAAGGATTTGTGCAAGCTATTGATGCCTAACCGGGTTCTCATCGAGGGAAATAAGAGACGATAGGAGAGAAATAGGGCACAAGGCTCACCGAGCCCTTGATGTTTTTAGTACTGCAACGTCGACAAAGAAGCTCGTAGTGGGAGCCTGGGCCAGCAGTCGCAAGGGAATGGATAAGAGTATTGTATCGAACCAACCGTTCGGCGGTATTGTGGATGGGTGGAGATTTACATTCCCCGCTTCAAATGCTTGATCGATGCGAAGCATCTGATGAAGCGTGATCCTAGGGCTGGAAAAATTCCAAAAAAAATATCAGCCTTGGGGTTGCTTGATTTTTGTGGGGTGAGGAGCCCATTAAACACATCGATTTTCCAGGATTTAGAAAGGATTGGAAATTTACAACTGCCTACCTGGCTGATTACCGCTCATATAAAATAACTGTTCTGATCAGGCATGATATATTTACAACTATGCATATCTCTGTGAATCTGCTGATATTTTCTTGTCAAAGGTTGTGTACGGAGTATACATCGTTTCGGAGAAGTTATTTTAGCTTTGAGCCACGATGTAATTAGCCAGGAAGCGGCGCCGTCGTCAACCCCCCCGACTTGAATTGTTATTTGCCTCTTCCCAGGAAAATATATCGATTTTCGGACTTGGCCAAAGAACTTACCGAAACCTGGACGTCCGCTCAAAATGTCAGCAGGCCACCGTCATAGCCCTGTCCTTGTTTTATTCCTTGAAGAGCGACGCTCTCTCCAGATTCTGACATCCCTAATCCCACGAATAATCTCTTTTCTTTTGGGAACTCCGACGGTCCTCGGCCTTAACTTACACGGAGGAAGCAGCGTTAGATGTCATAGCTTAATTTCTTAGTCTTCTAAACGAATTGAAATTGGGAAGTGAAGGATAGTAAGCCAAGACAGAAGTTATTGGAAAGGGACTTTAGCTGCGATGAGACTTGCATTCAGTCACAACTTCGTCATATGTGGAAAAAGTTTTGTGTTACCGGTGCAACAAGCAAATATCGAAAGCCTAATCAGGATTAGCCGCACATGTGGAGACCAAGATGGCGGTTTAACTGACAGCAGCTGAGAGGATACTTTGGATAAACATGCTGTGGGGGAAACGAGGTTTGCAGGGAATTCAGCCACTGAATGAGTTGAAAGGGAAGTTGGTTCGAATTACCGATGCAACAAGGGACCGCTGGTCATCAGTTCTAGGAACTAAACTGCAAAAGGTCTAGGATATGTTGATCCAAATAGAATGCATACCAAATCTCGGCAACACAGCTCTATGGATAACAGGTAGATTGCAAAATCTGGTTTGACCGCAACCTAGAACGCGAAAAGCTGGAGAAATGGTGGTAGGAATACGGAGTATGCAAAGATACAATCGTGTGGAATCCCTGCTCGTGATGTGTTGTGCCACACAGTTGCCCTTCCCCACACCTTGCTGTCTCTGTCGTCTCTTGTTTGTATAAAAGCAGCTGTATTGTCCATCAGCTCCGCTTCATTGTGATGTACATACTTACATGGCCATTTCCACGTTTCTTCTGTTACCTTCGGGGGTGTGTCCTTTAACTTTCTTTTATTTTTGTTTCAAGTAATAATATACAAGCTCGGGAACGAACGGCATAGCACAGGCTGGTAGAAATATATCCCTTCAACGGGATAACAAGACATCATGCCGTCATTAGCTGGCAATATCTATCTCATCGCTGCCGTGTCGGTGATTGGGGGTGGTTTGTTTGGTTTTGATATCTCGTCGATGTCTGCTATTATCGGCACAAGAAACTATCTTTGTTACTTCGATCAGGCTGAGCCGGGTCAGAAATGCAAGGGTCCAAAACCAGATGTTCAGGGCGGTATCACGGCCTCCATGGCAGGTGGCTCTTGGCTGGGTGCTCTTACATCGGGCTTTTTGTCTGATACATTTGGGCGCAAGAAGTCCATCATGGTTGGTGCAATTATTTGGTATGCCATACTTTCTTTCTCCGCAGCTTAATGCGTTAGGCCATCAACTTTCGATGAGAAAGGTTTTTATATGTTGGATATCAAGAGCAGGGGAAGCTGACTGAGTTGCTTGTATAACCAGGGTTGTTGGCTCTATTATCACCTGTGCATCGCAGAATATTGGAATGTTGATTGTTGGTCGAATCATCAACGGTTTCAGCGTTGGCATTAGTTCCGCCCAAGTCCCTGTTTACATTGCAGAGTTAGCGCCTCCATCCAAACGTGGTCGTCTGATTGGCGCGCAACAATGGGCAATCACATGGGGTATTATGATTATGTTCTAGTACGCACCATTCCACGAATAATCTTCTGATTCAGATACTAACACGACAACACCCAGTATTTCCTATGGAAGCAGCAAGCTTGATGGACCTGCGGGTTTCCGACTCGCGTGGGGTTTGCAAATGATCCCCGCTATATTGCTCTTTCTCGGTCTAATACCCCTGCCCGAGTCACCACGTTGGCTTGCTCGCAAGGACCGCTGGGAAGATTGCCTTAGTGTGTTGACATTGGTGCATGGAAGAGGTGATCCGAACTCCCCATTCGTCCACCGCGAATACGAAGAGATCAAGGAGATGTGCGAATTCGAACGACGAAATGCTGATGTGTCCTATCTTGAACTGCTTAAACCCAGCATGATCAACCGCACTCATGTAGGTGTATTCACCCAGATCTGGAGTCAGCTCACTGGCATGAATGTGATGATGTATTATATCACGTAAGTCGCCACCCTTCCAGGGTTGTCAAGTGATGGGCTAGTAGTTGTTCTTTTTGAAAGGAGTTCTGATAATTTTTTTTCCCCTTAGATACGTCTTCGGGATGGCTGGCCTCACAGGAGATACCCTGATGGTCTCAGGTAGTATTCAATACGTTATCAATGTTGTCATGACCATTCCGGCGCTTCTGTGGGTGGACCGTTGGGGCCGCCGCCCGACCCTTCTAGTTGGAGCTTTCTTTATGATGCTTTGGCTCTTTACCAATGCTGGGCTTCTTGCATCTTACGGGCATCCTGCCCCGGCAGATCGATTGGTCGAAGCTCAATCCTGGTTGATTACCGGTCCCCCTAGCAAGGCAGTTATCGCATGCTCCTATCTGTTCGTTGCTTCGTTTGCTCCAACTTGGGGTCCCGTTTCCTGGATATACCCTCCAGAGCTGTTCCCTCTGCGGGTACGTGGGAAAGCTGTTGCCCTCTGCACATCCGCCAACTGGGCTTTCAACTTTGCCCTTGGCTATTTTGTTCCGCCCGCGTTTGTCAACATCCAATGGAAGACGTATATTCTCTTTGGCGTCTTTTGCGTGGCCATGTTTATTCATGTCTTTTTCATGTTCCCTGAGACATCTGGCAAGACTCTCGAGGAAGTTGAGGGGATCTTCACCGATCCAAATGGCATCAAATACCTAGGAACCCCTGCTTGGAAAACACGCGTTGATTACCACCGTGCAGCGCTGCTGGAGGAGACTGGTGTAAAGGACGAGGAGAAGCTAGAACCACTGCATGCGGATGACAAGAACTAAAGTTCCCAGAGATCCTAAACGTTGTCATTGTTACTGTGATCGGCTCAGCGACGAAACAAACTCTATTTCTGTTAACTGTTCCAATTTTTCTCTGCAAAATACTCACCCCCCGTCAGATAGATGATGGACGTGTAAACCTCGTTGCCGGGATTGCCTAACAAATGGTTCTGTTCAAAATACACGCAAGTGCCATCACCACCTTTTTCCCCCGTAATCATCAGACATCCGGTACATTTCTACCGACCATAGTTTCTCATATGCTTCTTTCGTTTCTGCCTTGAAAGTATCCAATGCTTATCCTGTACTCAATCGTATATATAACGAGCTCATATCGCAGCAGCTAATATATGGCCCTTTATCTGATTATCGTCTTGGCAACCAAGTGTTTGCGTTCAATGTCCATAATGTTAAAAGACTGTATGTACGTACAACATGTTCTATACCCTAAATATCGTGGATATGTGGGTGGATGACATAAGCTGAACATCTGGCAGCTTAAATGTTTAGCCGACCGGTTTACATTACAAATAATTTTCGGTCTCATTTGCTAACATTTGGCGGTGGCCTGAAGAACGAAGTCAAGATCGAGTATGGGAAGAATCGCGACTTCCTGGGGGGCGGCATCCGGCGAAACATCTTACCGTGGGGTTTCCCTTAACTTACTTAGTTTAACTAGTTATTGCTGGCTAATTTTACTGAATAGCTAATTACCTCCGCCTTGATTAGCTCCCTAATAAATAAATGAATGAATAAATGAATAAATGAATAAATGAATAAATGAATAAATGAATAAATGAATAAATGAATAAATGAATAAATGAATAAATGAATAAATGAATAAATGAATAAAATTCAAAGGACTGAACTTAATGTCATTTTTCTTCTAATCCATAATTGCATCCATGTTTGAACATTTCAGCACTATTTACCTAACAATGTCGGTATTGCTTAATTAGTTAGGAATCAGTCTTGACATCTTGACACATCTCACACGTATATCTGGATAATCTTTCAGGCTGTCATGGTTCCAGGCTGTCATGGTTCCAGGCTTGTTTTTCGCTCCATTTGGTGGGTAAATGGGGCATCACACTTGTGCATGGAAGCTAAGCCACATCTTATGGTAGTAAATGCAGTTAGTTATTCCTCTCAACTTGGAAAAAGCATCCTCCATAACATCAAGATCAGAGTTGCTGCCATTCAGTGAAAACTCCGGATTAATTATTGTCTCATCAACCAGTGGGTTTTTCTGGAATTCTCCACAGTTCAATCGAGTTATCAAACCCGGAATCGAATATACGTCAAGATATTTCGCTTGCAAACGCTGAGAGGTCTGTCCCTTTTGGAGTAGATTAATGCTAGATACGGTATGCAGACAAGAATATCTTTTCCATTTAAATGTATGCCTTCAGTACCTCGTTGGATACTAGGCTAAATTGAGGTCCATCTAGCTTTATAAAAACACACACCTAATTCTCGGGACGGTTGTTATTGTTGCTTGTCCAACCCTTTATAGGGTTGCTTTACGACCACTACTTCATTGCAACGAAGAAATCAGGTGTGCAGATCTATATTCATGATTGGTATGGTCGGTTTCTCATTATTCTTGGAATCATAAATGAGGGTCTTGGCCTACAGCCGGCTGGAAACCCTGAGGCATACTGTAGTTACGGGGTAGTTGCAGGGCTTGTAGGGGTGGGCGTATTTCACAAAAGTGGTTCTATTCAAGATCGCAAGGCGGAGCCAGAAAAATGATACAGTAGTTGAAGTTATGTCGAGGAAACATCCCATTCGTAACAGGCGTGAATAGATGCTCAAATGTGAATTCGCTGGGCATTTAGTAATTATTGAGAGAAGGTTTGACATTTTGCATGATAGAGACTGAGCGTATCCACAAACATTATTGGGTGTGGAGGAGCAAGACAACTTTCTCAATATGATAAAACTGCATACCAAAGTCTGCTTAGTCCTTGTGCTACTGTATTCACCTAGTTGATATGAGGGAGGTCGAAACAGTAATTGCTTGAGATGATGTTGGGAGAAGGTTGAGTTAAGGTGCTGACTCATCATCAAGTCGTTCTATTCTTGGATTAGCGTTTTCTGCAAATCATAACCTACAGCAAGGGAAAACCTTAATCATCAGCCATGCTCGATGCGAAAGTCAAATCTAGATCTATAAAAGCTTTTTCGAAAAAATACATTCAACATGACGATATATCCAAAATTCCTAATCTTGTCTTATGTCTTCCAACTCTTCTGTTTCCAAAGCCAATCCTCAAAATCCATCCCTCCTAAATCCTTCGGGATCGCCGTGTGAGGTTGTTCCCACATCTTCGTCGCCTCAAACCACATGTGGCTGGACGGGTTCTCAGCCAAGGCTTTTAACCTCATCGTCTCCGGACTATCTTCGCCCTCCAGAAGTAACCTCCCTTCATACGCTCTTTGAGCAAAGACCTTTGCCCTCGCCCGGTCGCCGTGTGCTATTGTAATCTGCAGTGCATCATTGTAGACTCGCGCAATCCTCGAACCAGCTATACCTTCGTCTACGAGCATCCGGAAAAGGGTATATGCGTCTTGAAGACAATCATCCGGCTTCGACATCAATCGTCTTCCACTTCCTAGCACAAGATCCAACCGAGCAATCTCCTCCAGACGATCATCTCTCTTCTTAGTCGCTTCCGCGGGAATCGCGCAGACTTCACATCTGCATCTGAAGCCAAAAGCATTCTCAAAACATTCCTGGCGAGTGTCATATAATTCCGTACAGTCGACGTATGCAATTGTAATTTCTTCTCCCTTGTCGATATCTTTAAATGCCTGGATCGTAAGTTTTCCCAGGTTACGATTCCACGTATTTTGTGTATTCGGTTGGCACGAGTGGTTGATACGTGCAGCCTGGGGAAATATAGCACCCTCTGCCCCTCTTGCGCCAAATGGCATAGCATTTGTTTTGATGGTGCCAGTCACGGGACTGCATCTGCCTTTATGGGCATTGTGGAGCGAAAAGAATGATTGCTGCTTCTCTTTACTCAGAGCCTTCAGTGCTTTGAGAATTGTTCTTTCCACAGATTCTAAATTCTCCGTCGTGCTGGGGACCGTAAAAAGGGGCTCCTCGAGGATTATTCGTGTGCCTTTCGGGATTTTTGCGGTAGCAAAGCAGCCAAATCCCCTCCCAGGAACAGCTTTGATGTCGTACAGTTCATTATTGCTAACTGGGAGAGTGGTTCCCGTTGCTTGAACTTCCCCATTGCCATTGTGACTAACATTGCTTGTTTTTGCTTCCCTGGTCACTCTCTGCTGTCGTTCCTCGAAGGAAAAATTTTCGTATAAACCCATTTTCAATTTTCTTCTGGTCTAAGAATAAAATATATGTGCTGGATGCGCTGGATGCGCTGGATGCGCTGGAATGGGCAATCTGGCTCCAACCTTTCCTGGATAATTGATATGCAATTTGAGGTTTGATCTGTTAAAACAGTGGTGTTTTTTGACATTGAGTGTAGAACTTTGTTGGTCAGAATTGTTAGGAAATTGAAAGAAAGAAATGCTTACGAGAACACAGAAAAGACAAGATAGAACGAAATTTATATATTGCAAAAAGTATGAGATGGAAAGGGAAATAACGAGATGCTGATCCGTCAAACATCTTGCTGTTATATTTCTCTTGGCATTGAAGAGTTTCTCTTTTGTCATCGAATTGAGCTGACTCGGGTGGTTGACACACTTTAAAGGTATCAATTTCTTCTATTCCCATGTATCAGATATATATAGTGGTAACAACGTTTACAGCTAAGGGTTATAAAACTGGACCGATGGTTGAGAGTTTGTACTCAAATTTCACGCTGGTAAAGGGTTCGGCTGGTAGCCGAGATAATGTAACTTATACAATATAATAAACTCCTGGATTTACTGCCATTGTTGGCTTAGGAGAATCTTTGGAGGCATGTCAGCTGTCATTTCAACAACTGGTGAAAGTTTGGTGCTTCGCAGGATGTCGTTGAACTGACACAACCTGAGATGAGTCCAAGTTGCCGCCATCACTTGGAAGTGCTTTGGGATCTTGGCCGGGTAGGGCTTACGGCACCACGTGGAACCCAATGGTGGGTTCATTAAGCTGAAAATAACTATAGATGGATTAGCAAGCGTGGGAAGAGATTTCAAGACTATGGATGAATGGGCCTGTACAGTTAATTAGGGTTTTTATTGCATCAGCTCTCGGTGCCATTGGCTGCTGTAAAAGTCTAGTAAACGTCTTGGAAACAAGTGATTCAGAAATGCTGTCTATCTGGCGAATGACCGCCTGCATCTGTAGAGGGGACCGTCGTTCGACTAAATAGAGCTGACTTCGTATGGACAACCTTAGGCTCTGTCGTTCTCTATCCGTGCAGAACGGATAAGAGGGGTGGTGTAACTCTTTACTAGCTCCGTAGTGGAAGACAGATACCTCCAAAGTCAGTGCATGAAAGACATATCCATCAACATTTTCCCTGTGGTGGAGATCTGGAGAGACAACCCGCAGGCACGAGTCCATATCTCATGTCGAGTCTTGTCAGCAGGATCGGGAGATGATGTATCGTCTTCACTCTCATCGTAACCAGCTGTGGTTACCACCCTTTGCCAACCTTCGCCTGGAAACGTCTCATCTCCATTTCCAAGGTTCGTGCTATCTCTGCCTCCGCTCCCAGTCCTTCTCATAGCCCGACTCTTCTTTGACTGGTGTGCCTCCAAAACAGTTTGCAACTGGCTGAAGATTGTGTGTGCCATTGTATGGAAAAGAAACATTTTCATTGCAGGTGCAGATTTTAGGGAAGGCTTGTATGACCCAATAATGAGCTCTGGTAATATGCTGGTAGACGTGTCGAGATGGATAGGGGTATTAAGATGTTTGATGCATCGTTCCATATGGCCAAAGACGCATCGATAGATGTTCATTACGATCGTAGCAGGATAAAATAAGGAGAAATGTTGCGCGAGAGTGAGTGCATGCGCTGGCTTCCATGTGCTTATTCCCATGATTACGTGACAATTGAAATCACAGAAATTGGGATCGATGGATGGGTGAGGTTAATACAGCCAACGCGCTGGAGATAGTTATCCATGGAACCTCAATAAATCACCGCTTCGACTTGGTTGGAGGGGGAACTTGAAGCTAGCTGGCATATCCCCGAGGTTGTTTGAGCTGGAATGAAGAATGACCTCGTACATATTGGGTGCAAGTCCCGCGCTCATTTATTGTCAGGAGCCATACCTTTCCAGCCAGCCAGCCATCCAATCTCAGTAGATAACCATGTATCCTGTGCAAACGACTATCCTGGTGCCTCTGGTTGAGTATTATAACGAGCGTTGTGCGGTCTCTAGCTACTTTAGGTCTAGTTTCTGGGAGATGCAAGATGAACTAACTAGTTATATTGGAGGAAAGTATTGTAGAACGCTCGATGGCTGTGATTATTTTTCTTGAATCTGGTAGAAATCAACAGCAGTCCTTTACTTAGTACACTCGCGTCTACTTGATAATGGCAACCTTGGGAATGTCTCATTTGATGCTACGAAGTCTCCTGACTTGGGGCACGCCAAGCAAGTTCCAGTTGACCAACTATTAATAATTAACCCGCTAAAGCAGTTAACATTTGTAACTAGGGGTCATTCACTAACAAAACATCCAGTTAATATTCTCCGCAACACCGTGACAGACGAAGGACCACATGAGGAAGACCTTCAACATCGCGCCTCAACGGCGAATCACACGGGGTAATCAGACGATGCAGTCGCCCTGACAGTCTTTTCCACTTAGAAGTGCTTGAATATCTAAATATATTAGATCTTTTCCTTCGTTTGGGTTTAAGTTTGATACTAAAACCCGCCTCTTCGACGCCTCGTTCTCGTCCTCAATCCAACAGCTGTTGACAGTGGGCTCATCGGCCAAGGTAAACTGAACCCTAGAAGATTCAATTTTCAAGGAGGAAGCAAAAAAAGACGAGAGAGGCAAGATGACTTTTAATTCAAGGGTCCTTTCATTATACAAATACCTATACATTTTTTGTGCTGTCCTTTTATTTTCTCGCCTGGTAACTGGGGAAGACAACAGGATGAATATCTATATCCCCGGGTCCGAGACACAGAAACTTATTGTCGCGGATGGCTATGATATTGGGGAGAATAAGAACGAAACACGTACGTTTATGTAAACTTTTATGTAAACTTTCCCGGTGGGATGGATGCGAACAATTTTAACCAATTACACAGAACTGCTACCATTCATATTTGAAGCCCTCCCGCTGGGTTCGATCAAACCGCAAGGCTGGCTAAGCGATCAGCTGAAGCTGATGGCCGATGGTCTTGCTGGCCACGAGTATGACTTTTATCAAATTGTCCGTCAGAACCCGTGGCTGGGCGGCACTCAGGACTACAGCAATCTGAACGAGGCTATGCCCTACTGGTTCAACGGACTGGTTCCGCTCGCCTATCTGACTCAGGACAAGAGGCTGCTTGAGCAGGTCCGGACAGCCGCAGACTACATACTCACCCACCAACAGAAGGATGGCTGGCTCGGACCGGAAACTAAACTTCCTCAAAGAAATTTCTGGGCTCGGTATCCCATGTTCCTGGGATTGGCACAGATGGCAGAAGCCGAGGCTGGCACTCCCGTAGCCGAGAGGATTTTGAATGCGATGCATAAATTCGTTGACTTGATGCATTCAATGCTGTCTGACAACCTCCAGGGACTGGTGTGGCACGAAGGCGATGATTTCAATGAGCAATGGGGCCGATCTCGGGTGGCGGATATGATTTTGGCCCTGCAGTGGCTTTATGAAAATAATCCTAGAGAGAACGGTGACAAGTTGTTTGAGTGCATGGGATATTTTAGGAAGGGCGGACATGACTGGACTTGGTGGTTCACCGAGGGAAATTATATCAAAGTCGACCTCGACACTGTCCCAAGAGAGGTTACGGACAAGTTATACCATTTTGAGCATGGCGTTAATGCCGGCCAGGGTTTGAAGGCTCCTGCAGTAATCAGGAGATTTACACATGATGACAGCCTGCTAGAGTTTGCTCGGAGAGGCGTTAACTGGACGTTCCGTTATCACGGTGGCCCGTCCGGCGGCATTATTGCAGATGAGCGACTCGTAGGTTTGAGCCCCGTGAGAGGAACAGAGTTGTGTTCGGTCGTCGAGACAATGTATTCGCTCAGCTATCTCTACCAGTCGATAGGCGACCGGGATTTTGCAGATCGATGCGAACTAGCTGCTTTCAACGCACTTCCTGTTATGCTTACCCCAGATTGGTGGGCTCATCAATATATAGCGCAGGTCAACCAGCCCATCTCCCACTCAGTCAAGTACTCTCCATGGTTTAATGTTGGATCTCGAGGGCAGACTTTTGGCCTGGAACCCAACTACCCGTGCTGCACAGTCAACCACCATCAAGGATACCCCAAATTCGTATCCAATATGTTCACAAGGTTTGGTTCAGACGCCATCGTGCACGCACTGCTCGGGCCAGCTGAAGTGACGACCACAACCAAATCAGGGGTGAAGGTTAACATCAAATGTGACACTAACTACCCTTTCGACAATGTGCTGTACTATCGGATCGACACAGCAGGCCCCTTTAAGTTCGCTTTCAGAGTCCCATCGTGGGTCAACAATGCAGACTCCAGTGTCTCCGTCGACGGAGCCAGGAGCAAAGGCTTAGACCCACATCCAACAACAGGAATACACAGCATCAACGTAATGCCTGGTAAACACGTCGTCATCGTCTCGTTCACTACATCACCCCGCGTTGAGCCACGAGCTAACGACACTGTCTCAATCTACCATGGCTCGCTCCTCTACTCGCTCCCGATCAGCTCAGAAGTGAGCAGCGTCAAGAGCAATTACCCAGGCGCCCCGAACAACGTGCAAGAGTACACCATGCGGCCAACCTCTAAATGGGGGTTGGCTATTGATCCGTCCAAGCTCCAGTTCAACGGTCTCCCCTCCAATACTCGGCTGCCTAATCCAGTCTGGGTTGAAAAAGGGACTCAGGTTTCGATTACTGCGAAAGCTTGTGAGATTAAATGGGAACTGACGGAGCCAAAGGATCAAGGGTATGCTCCGAATCCGCCGTCAGCGGGGAATCGGGAGTGTATTGGGAAGCCGTTTGAGGTTGAGTTGGTGCCATACGGAGCTGCAAAATTGCACATGGCAGAGCTGCCCACGGTAAATCTTGCATAGTTAAGGGAGGATGGTTGGGTATTAGCTTTGGTTTTGATGTTTTGATTCTGCATTTTCTTATGCGATCTACGGCTCATACGGACTGGTCCTCGGTTTCTGTCTTCAGAAACCCGGTTCAAAAGGTAGAGAAACATTCCCTAGCATATATTATAACAACATAACTACTCTATTACTCTTAGTAAGTACACACATAGCCATGAATACTAAGAGTTCCCAGTGCCGTATTCGTTGCATCAATTGAAGCATGATTGTAGATCCATTCGTGATGTTGTTCCAGAAACATCTAACTTCAAACTACGTGACTTTAACTTCGGAGACGGAAGAACTTCCAGCTCCGACGGTCCCTGAGCTGCCGTTCACCAATTGCCTCCGCGAAATAACTAGAGGACAATAATAAACACTAAATAAAGTAATTATAAAACCCAGCTCCGTCGGCAATTACAACGCCAATTACACCCAATATGTCTCCTGGTGTCTAATTTCCAACGTCTTATGCTGCCTTCTCATTGCCGCCCTGTCAATATCTGCGCAGGGAAGGCTGACATCGGACATACCAAAACTGCCCAAAAGAGGCCAAGAACGCCCCCCCCCCCAAAAAAAAAAAAAAAAAAAAAGCAAGAAAAGAAAAGAAAAAGAGGCCTGGAGGAAGCTAAGGGCAACTCCAAAGAACATCAACTAATATTTATAAATCAAATTCATCAAGACGACAAACGTCCCTTTTCTCCCTTCTCCCACACATTCCTTCTTTCCGCGTTATCAGACACTCATGCCGCGACCACGGAAGTCGAGTAGTCTCGGTGCAGATATCAGAGGGGACACCGGAGCTCCAGCTATGTCCACCATGGATTCCCGGGCTTCCATATCAGATTACCCTGAGTCGCCCTCGTCTTCGGTATTTTCCCTCCCCGCTTAGCGTCAAATGGAATCCCGATTTATTTCTAACGTGCTTGAATCAATGTAGGTGCGCAACCAGCGGAATGCTCCAGAAAGGAGCCGGAAATCACATTCAAAACGGCGGAGGGCGCGCTCACTATTCCGGCGATGGAAAGACCTTGCTCTCAAGCACACATGGTTGACACCACTCATCCTACTCCTCATTGTCCTCGCTATATACGCCGTGAACCCAACGGAATCCAACCCTGTACACTCCGCCATTTTCCTCTCGTACCCCACTGGCCGCGAAACTCCTAGCGGACCCACTATGTACGCCAAGGGCAGAAATGACCTCTACTTTGTTGGCTTCTACACGATCGTCCTATCCTTCACTCGCGAATTCATCATGCAGCGCATCATCAGACCATGGGGCGTGTCCTGTGGCATCAAGAGTAAGGCCAAGATGGCCCGGTTCATGGAGCAGGGGTACACGGCGATATATTTCGGGTTTTCCGCGCCATTTGGGCTCTACGTCATGAAACAGACAGATATCTGGTATTTCAACACGACGGCAATGTTTAAGGGGTTCCCGCATAGGACGCTAACGGCGGATTTCAAGGCATATTACTTGCTGGAAGCCAGTTACTGGGCGCAGCAGGCGATTGTGCTGCTGTTGATGCTGGAAAAGCCTAGGAAGGATTTCAAGGAGCTGGTTATGCATCATATTATTACATTGTCGCTCATTGGCCTAAGTTACCGTTTCCATTTCACCCACATTGGGCTTGCGGTGTATATCACTCATGACGTTTCGGATTTCTTCCTTGCGGTTTGTTTTACCCCCAATCCCGTTCTCTCTGCTTGTTGTGGCTGTTGGTGGAGGTGGCGTTTAGGCTAATCCATTTTCAAAATCCACAGACCTCCAAAACACTCAACTACCTCGATTCCCCAATCATTGGTCCTTACTTCCTCACATTCATTTGCATCTGGATTTACATGCGGCATTACCTCAACCTCCGCATTCTCTGGGCCGTCCTCACCAAATTCCAAACCGTCGGCCCCTTCATTCTCAACTGGGCAACCGAACAGTACAAGTGTCGTCTCAGCCAGGTCATTACGTTTATCCTACTAAGTGCCCTACAGGCCATCAATTTGCTCTGGCTGTTCCTGATTCTCCGCATCGCGAAGAACTACGTGCTGAGCGATGTGAAGCGGGACGAGCGGAGTGACAATGAAGATGACGAGGAGGAGCATGAAGAGGAGAAGCAAACTACCCCGACAAAGTCCCCTCAGATTGGTGATGGCTCTTCAAATGCCGCCGTCACAGGTTTTGGTGTGCTGAATAATGGTGCTACTGAACCGCGCGTTACAAGGAGGGCGGCGAAGGAGAAGGAAATTGCTGCTAGAGCTGGAGCTAATGGGGCTGGTGGTGATGATGATCGCCCGAATTGAAGAAAAAGAGCAGGTAATTGGGGGAGGAGATGTTACGAATGCACGTCTCCTGTTATAAAGTTGGTATAAAATAATGAGGAAAATTCTCGGGGCGCGAACTACGAAGGGCTATGGGGAAACTTCCCCGCTGTCGGTTTTATTTTAGAGGATTGAGGGCGTCAAAATTGAAGAAAAGTCATTGGCGTTAACTCACTCACCCATCCCATTTATTCATTCCTCGCTTCCCGGCCCCGTGTCCCCGTCCGATTGCCATACATACATACTTCGTGAAACATGTGCATGAGTTCAAATAGTTGGTTTCGAGAGAATACCCCCTTCCCTCGGCGTTTGTTTGCTAATCGATTGTTCTTTCTGCAATTCCTTATGTATATTGGCTTGTTATAGGTGTGTTTCGTTTCTCTATATATTATTATTAATATTATTATTAATATTGAGCATTATGTTTGAGCAAACCTTTTTCCGTTTAAGAATTGTGAATGAGTGATAATGTAAATAATGGTCCCTCCCCTTTTCTTTTCTCTGTTCAAGGTGGTTTTACAGGCTGATAACTTTTGCCATCTTCTTTGATTGTTAACTTGGAATCTTCTTGCTTCAGCTCTTTTTCCTTCTCCCCTCCTCAGTTTCATATTGCCTTTGGAGGGGAGAATGCTACATGTTGTTTAATTCGATTTCAGGCTGTTGTTTTACACCTTAGATCTTTTTTTATGATGACTTTCCCCTTTTCTTCTTTCCTTTTCATTCACCACTGTGTTTCTTCTCTTCTCTTCAGATAACATTATGCATAATGTTTTAGTGTTTCCCCTACCCTTCTCTACCCTTTTATATATAAATTTCTTCTCCTGCAGTTTAATCTTTGTTTTGGCTTTCTTTTACTTTTTAAATGGATTGCGGTTGGCCGAAACATGATTTTGAATATTTTAAGAGTCCCTCTTTTCTATATTCCTGTTTGATACTAGCCGATGGATATATCTCGAGGGCTTGCCTTTGGTGTATTGGGTAACATCTTATAAGGGTTTTTTTTTTTTTTCAATCTCCTTTATTACTTATCAGTGCGTGCCGCGCGCGTGCTTCTCTTGTTTTGCCCAGCATGAAGTACGGGTGTGTATCCCCAGGTTTAATCCGGGAGATGAAAAAGAACACAGGGAAGGTTTAGAATAATATATAAATGACTATATACACATCTACCATATAAATGCGATGCAAAAAGAAATGAATATGCCGAGTTGTTACTTGGCGCTTATTCCTTATTTTCATTCATTAGCTGGTAGATACACGTACTCGTACAAACTTGGGCATCCCCTCCCACTTCCACCATTTGTACTCCACTCTCCACTCCCACGTTCCGCATATTGCAACTCACATTTAAAAGTTAGACCTATATTCTCTCCGGTACTCTACTAACCGGGCTTGGAACCCCCTTCCACAACATGAACGATTTCTGTCCCGATATATTTTGCTTAGAGGTTGTTGCAGCAGCTGGCTATGTGGATTAATTGGGTTTGGCCCCTTCGTCTTCAGATTGCTCGGTTGAAGGAGTTGCAGGTCCATCGTCATCGGATTCATTCTCATCGGCCTGAAAAGATGTTAGGGAGAGATGTTTGTTTTTCTTTTTTGCAATGATACCACTAGGTAGGTGCTCCACTGCTCTACCTACATAGGCAGAGACCATTGCTTGGTTTAGGGGAAATTTGGTGGTGTGAGGGTAGGGCGATGTGATAAGAAATATAGATGTAAACCCAAAAAGCCAACGACACAAGGAGAAAGGAAATAATATCAATAAATCCAATATCCCAATTCTAAAATAGACCATTGAACCGTGATATATACATATATCACAATACAGGTAAGATATAAACTTTTAACGTACCTCTCCCTTCTCTGGCTTGGCTTCCCCCTTCTCAAGCTCGGCAGGAATTGACGCTTTTTGGGGTTCATCCGGCTCCTTCTCAACCTGTACAGGCTCAGCAGCGCTCATCTCTTCCTTTTCTTCAGATTTTGTAGTCGCTTGCTTCTCCGTTAATTGCGGTTCCTCGGGGTCCTTATGGGATTCTGGGACTGGCTTCGGGCTCTCAGAGAGGAGATATGCAGCGGCTGGAACAGTGAATGCAACTGATCCGATTAGCCTGTCCCAGCACAAGGTAGTTGTCAGTATTAGATAGCCTGTTTTACCAAAGGAAAGGGTAGGGGTTTTAATAACGTGGTTTTCTGCCAAGAAACAATGTCCCAATTAATTAAATCATAGAGTGCGAGTCACTGGAAATTTTTGAATGGAAATAAAAATTACATATAATTTAAGTATATAAAACATACCATGGCAAATCACTGGTTTTCTTAACCTCGAGGCCGGAGGCATATGTCCTTCTTGATACCTGCTGCCAAACCCGCGATGAAGCTCTGGTGCCGGCTACTCTGGTGGATTGTTGAGCGGTGAAAAAAGTGCGGATGAGAGGTGATGACCGAAAGACAACCATGGTGGGCATATATAGACTGGTTGTCTGGTTCTGTTTAATGCAATTGGGGTGCAATTGGAGGGATCTTGCAGGTTGAAGTTGGATAAATATGAGGGGAAAAAAAAGATGGGGAAATGTTAGCTGGGAACGGGCAAGTTCCAAGATTTCCCAAGAGGCCCAAGTGTTGAAGAACACGTGACTGATGATGACAGCGGGTATTTCACGATGACTAAGGGAGTGACAGTTGGGTCATTAAAACTGCGTATATGGGGGCAGTTTTAAGAAAATGCCATGGTAGATAGGGAAAGGAAATTGTGCTATTAGTTTAACAGATCTTTTAGTTGTAGTATATATGGACGGAGAGTGCAAGTAGAGACAGTAGTCCGGTAAGTTAACTACCTCTGTTAACTATTCTTCAAAAGTCATCCCACCCTCTCAAACTTGTAAACGCGGGGACATCTATCAAACAACCACTCAGTCCGACCTTTACCCGACCAAACAAACTCAAACATATAACAGCCAAACAATCCCAGGAAGAGGGCCTCATTTTGCATGCAGCTTTTTTGGCCTGCTTTTTAACCTTCTTCTCTGATCAGTCCCGCAGCTTCTGGCAACTGGTCAGACTAACTGCATATGACCCCTCGGCTACCTTAACTACATCATGCAGACTGATAGCTTCTGAGTTGGCCGTGTTGTCCCTTGTTGCCTATACACCTAACAAGACATCATCTTCTTGTAAGTTAGCTTCAGCTTTGCTGCACTTTCCCAATTCCAGGTCTATGTATCATGCTATCAGGATTCTGACATCCTACTTGTACATGAACATATCCGCTAATTTCTTGGTTGCTACATTAGTACCGAGATTTCCCACTGTACGAACAAACAGATATCATGGCCTATGAAAAGCATACGGCCCAGCAGAGCTTAAACGCTCTACTGTCAAAGCTGTCTGATCCGGACCCCGACATCCGGTATATGTCTCTCAACGACCTGTTAACCACCCTCGAACAGCCAAACTCTGCCTTCCTCTCTCAGGATACACAATCTTGCTCGAGACTGGTAGAGGGCCTGCTGAAAGCTCTCGAAGATCAGCATGGTGAAGTGCAAAATCAGGCCTTGAAATGGTATGTGTTGTAGGGCTTCAAAACCACCGTTGAAATCTCCTGTGGAACATCACATTTCGCAACACTAACTTTTTTCGAATTTCTCCCACAGCTTAAAACCACTTGTCGTTCGCCTTCCACTGGAAATACTAAGTCCCTTAATCGATAAACTCATTTCTATGACGAACTCTGAGACCATTGATACGTCAGTTCCCAACACGGCACTGAGAATCATATTAGCAGCTTTGCCCCGTCCCGACCCCGGCGCTCCTCCTACTCGAGAATCGCAAGCAGGGTATTTAGCCGTCTCCAAGGTTCTAATTCCTGAACTTGTAGGGGAAGCCGGGCCATCTAAACAGCCATCAAAAAGGAAGGGAATGTTGAGGAATGATCCGCAGAGGGGTTATAGTAGCGAGGCCCTCGATGTGCTGATCGAAGTGGTAAAGAACTTTGGGCCAATGCTGAATGAGTCGGAACTGGCATTTCTGGAGTCGACCGTGATGGGTATTGTTGAAAACGATAATGCAGGAACTGTAGTTATAAAGAGAGCGTTGACTGCTGTTTCGGCTCTTCTAGCGTATTTCGCCGATGGGCAGCTCAGCAAATTCGTATCAAACTTGATTGAGAGCTTCCGATCACCACACTTGACATCCACTCGCCGTCGACATCTTATTGCAACAATAGGGGCATTGGCTAGGTCCATTCCGGCCAAATTCGGGTCTTATGTGAAAACTTTGGCCCCGTTTGTGCTTTCAGCTGTTAGTGAGCAAGAGTTGGACGAAATGGATGACGACGCCTCGGATTTAGGGGAACACGATCCTGTAATGGATGAGTTGCGTGAAACAACACTGGTGACGCTGGAGACTTTACTCGGATCTTGTAACGCCGAAATGCAACCTTACCTTGGGGATTCAATAAATGCGGCCTTGCGGTATCTCAAGTACGACCCCAACGTAGCTGAGGTTGAGGATGAAGAAATGGGCGGCACGCAGGACGAAGAGAGTGATGATGATGGAACTGAAGAACCCGATGATGACAATGACGACTTTGATGATTTCGAAGAGGAAGAAGGTTACAGTGATATAGATGATATGAGCTGGAAGGTCCGCCGATGCGCTGCCAAAGTTCTATACACGATCATTGCAACTCAAGTGAATGATTCAAAAGTCTTGAGGGAAGATTCTATCTACGAGCAAGTCGCACCCGCTCTTCTCGCAAGGTTCACTAAGGAAAGGGAGGAATCCGTTAAGCTTGAAGCTGTCGCCAGTATTACTTGTCTGGTTAAGAAATCCACCGAAATTTCAGCTGCTGTCGACCCTGACGTCTTCTTTTCTGATGCTTTTGGAAGATCGAGAACGTCCAGAAAAAGGAGAAGGCAAGATAGTGATGCTGGTCTGTTTGATTTAGAGTCAGAAGTCGCCTACTCGCACGCCATGTGCTCCCCAATTTCCATTCCATCAACACCAAAGACAGGTCCCCAGGCAGACATTGCAAAACTGACTCCTAGTATCATTCAGAATATCGTCAAGTTATGGAAACGAGCATCTATACCATTGAAGCAAGCCGCGATTGCGTTGCTGAAAAGCTTGGCTCTTGTTCGTTTTGGAGTACTTGCTGATTTCCTACAGCAGATTGAAGACCCGATCGCAGACTCCTTAAAGACATCTACATTGTCGGGAGGGTTATCTGTCTCTGCAGGTACAACTTCTGTCAGTGCTAGCAGCTTGCAGATAGAAACTCTTAGTTTGGTTGCTACGATATCGAAAACGCATGCTTCTAATGCGCTTCTGCCGTTCCTCATTGCGCTTATCCCCGGAGTTGCTAGCTCTGTGAACGATAAGAATTTTAGGGTTGCAAGTGAAGCTCTTGGTGCGGTTGAGGAGATCGCGAAAGCCTTGACACCACCGCGTGTCTCTGCTAGTGAACATGATCTTGGATCACAGCTCGAAAAGCTATTCGATATCATCGTTGATAAGATTGCTGACAACAGCTGTGACCTGGAAGTCCGCCAGCGAGCCATCCACGTTCTTGGTGTATTGCTGGGCCGCACGTCCGGAGGACAGGGGACAAAATTCATCTCTTATGCCCAACGAGAAACGGGGCTGTCACTGCTAGTTGACCGCCTACGAAATGAAACTACAAGACTTGCTGCAGCTCGTGCTATCGATGATATTGCTCTATTTGCCAATGGTCCCGAAGACGTCACTGCACCCTGGGTCCATGATGTAACCTTGGAACTTGGAACCCAGCTTCGCAAATCCGACCGTGCGTTGCGAGGCTCTTGCTTGGATGCTCTCAAAAGTCTTGCAATTAATCCACATACCCGCGCACTCTATGACCAAAAGACGATACAGGTTCTAGCTGGCTTCCTCCAGCCACTCCTCAATACGGAGGATCTGCATCTTCTCACTCCAACTCTGGTTATCCTAGGGAAGTTGATTCCTGGAAATGCGCAAGAGCTCATCAACAATAACATCGTTACTGCCCTTTGCTCCGTGGTACAGGCACCTCTGGTGGGGACAGTTTTAAAAGCATACTTACTTTTGATTCGAGTGATCGGGGAGCAGGGAGCAGGGGCTCTACTTATGAAGGCTTTTTTGCGAGATGTTGGTGTCAATGGAGATCCTGCTGTTGTTGGAAGAGCCATTGGAACACTGCTTGTGTACGAAGGTCCGAAGATTGGCGTAAAGATGCAAGATTTCTTGACGGAACTTCAGACAGCGCAAGATGCTCAGCGAAAATGCTTGGCCCTTGCCGTCCTAGGTGAAGTTGGCCTTCGAATGGGATCTGCCTGTCCATTGGAACCCCAAGTTTTCATCTCGAGTTTCAACTCTAAATCCGACAAAGTACGATTATCTGCAGCCGTCGCCCTTGGGAATTCCGGCGCGAGCAATATAAAATTGTATTTGCCTGTTATTTTGGAAGGACTGGAGAAGTCCACTTCATCAAAGTACCTTCTACTACATTCTCTGAAAGAGATCCTTCAGTACCCTGAAAGTGTGCGGCCGGACGTGGCACCGTTTGCTACGCGTCTTTGGCAAAGACTGCTCTCTGCTTCTGATGACGAAGATAACCGTGCTGTTGGCGCGGAATGCATTGGAAGACTGGCCCTTATTGATCCGACCTCATATATCCCCTTGCTTCAGGTAAAATAACCACAACACATCAGCTGAGAAGATTTTCTAGAAACTAAATTCTTGCAGGAATACCTTTCAAATGAGAACCCGGCAGTCAGGGGCACAGTCATCTCCGCCTTCCGATATACACTTGCCGATTCCAGTGACTCTTACAATGATGTTTTGCGGCCTCTCATCATCCCAGTTCTGGTTACGATGCTCAATGACACGGACCTGGGAAATCATCGTCTAGCCCTAACAACGGTCAATTCCGCTATCCACAATAAGACCAGCCTTGTTATTCCACATCTCAGCAAAATATTACCAGCTGTTATCAATGATACCCGAATAAATCCCGCCCTTGTCAGAGAGGTCCAGATGGGCCCGTTTAGACATAAAGTCGATGTCGGTCTGGAAGTTCGAAAAGTAAGGAATCACCAAATATATTATTCGTACATCCTAAGTTATCTAACTAACTTTCAAATAATAGAGTGCCTATGAGACCCTCTACGCCTGCGTAGACGTAGCCTTCGGAACCCTGAACATAGCCGAAATCTTTGACCGTATCTTAGCCGGCATCGAAGACGAGCAGGATATCCGCACCCTATCTAGCCTGATGATATCAAAATTAATCACATTCGCACCAGATGAAACACGCGCCCGTCTAGACGCGCTAAGCGAACCCTTCCGCACCGTATTATCGACAAAGCCCAAGGAGAATGCTGTTAAGCAGGAACTTGAGAAGGCGCAGGATGCATCATTGGGTGTGCTGAAGATTTCGCGCGAATTACAAAAGGCATTTCCTGGCGCGGAGACGTCGGGTGAGCATCATGCGTGGAAGGCATATGTGGAGTGGATTGGGAAGGAATTTGCGGTTCTGATCCGGTCGTTGGCGAAGGATTAATGGGCTAAGTTTGGATGTTGTGTTTTGTTGCGCTGCTGGTATTTATATCAGTTCTTCTTAACTGGGCAACTGCCATTGTATCTATATTCCGAAGGGATATTGAATTTCATGGTAGATTGAAATTCTGTTTCCCTACGCCTTCTCTCACATTGAACCTGGTATTTTCGCTATCGGATTATGTTTGAACTGAACGGAAAATGAGAATATTGATATCGAACACAGAGACAACATGACTCTATGCCATCTTCAAGGGAACTTCGAGAATTCGAATATATTCTGGTATTCTGGAAGCACTCGCATCTTAGTACACTAAGATATTTGCAGAGTTCTTCTTCTTCTTCTTCTTCTTCTTCTTCTTCTTCTTCTTCTTCTTCTTCTTCTTCACAAGTGCTAAAGCTCTTCTTTCATTATTTATAATCTTGAAAGATCATCTCATGCTATTCAAAGGCCTGATTGTTGATTATCATCAGGAGAATTGAGTTCGTTACTAGACCAGCTACTGCGGATGCCAGTTGAAGCTTTATAATCATGTACGGGTATCTTGGGCAAGGTATAAATGCTTCGTGTCCCGCCCCCATGCCTGTTAGGTTCTCACATCCAGATTACCTGGGGTTTGCGTGCCGAGCTATCCCGCTCCACGAGCATATAGCACATAGCCTAACCCCCTCCATTGATGGATTTTCCCAAAGTTTTTAGCATATCTACCGCGGCAATAGATTTCATCAGATTTCCATCTGATAAGTCTCCTGATAAAGGGATGGAGCGCTGTGTCGCGAATCAAACTTCACTTTTGTTATGAACAGGGGTGTGTTGCCGGTTCGCAGATCAACTCGATTAGCTTGGCTTGGCTTTCGTTTGTCGTCTCTCTCAAAAGCTATGAAGACAGTTCCTACGTGATAGCAAACTCGCGGGTTATCACTTGGTAGACCATCAAAAGTCCTAGATATTGCTCTTCCAGAAGTGTTTCTTAAACTCAGAAGCCATCTCATGTCAGACTATGGAGCTGGTAAATCGCTGAGCATCATGCTCCGGTACGAGCAATTTGTTCTTTTCCTGTAACCTTGTCCGTATTACGGACAAGATGGCAGATACAGAGCAGAGACGAAGGGGGTTGAGTGGGGTCTTCAGAGGGCCGTGGCGGTGCTGAATGACACTGCGATAACTGCCATCTCCCTCTTGAAAAATTCTTCAAAAATCGGCCTCTAAATAGAATACTACAACGGAGATTATCCATACTCTTGTACGATGTACCTGAAGTCACTGCACATTTGCACTGGGATCCTGAGCACGGCTGTCAATTAAGTGGGAGCAGAGGGACAAAGAAAGATTTCGGACCAACTGCGTGATAGACATAAGTCAGCCAATCCGGAGAAGTGACTGAGAGTTGGCCAAGTCTGTTAAAACAGTTCGCCTGATATGCTATGTCGAGTTTCCCTTTTACTCAATCTGTGAAAAGGCATATAGAAGACTCTGAAGACTATATACTATTGACCTCCTCATTGCCAAGTACGTGTCTAGGTGGATATTGATTAGTAGTGACTTCCAGAGTGTCAGAGCGCTTAAATATCACTTGCAAATTGCTATATTTACCAATGATCTGAAAGATGGTAACTATGCATGTGTTGGGATGATTCGGAGATATCCGATCCAAACGTAAGCTCCTAGGGACCTGGGGAATATTCTCTGTGATCAAGATGACGCCGAGCGGAAAGTAGTCGAAACTACGTTTTTGAGATACATTGTGCACGAATCAAAATTGAGGGCGCTTAACTTTAAATTTCAGTCTCTTTACAAAGAAAATTATAAACAGTGGTAGTTAACCCAGAAAATGCATATCATCCAAGGAATCAATCTTATCACGTCCAGATACAGCAATCGGTGCCATCCCGAAGTTGGAGTCATAAACTCAAATAACTACTAACTAGTTCCTCCGATAGACGGAGCCTTCAGAAGCGATCATACAAATAAGCGCCGCTCATGCTCTTTTTTGAATCACAAACCTAGAAACAAACAATGGACGTGAATCGGTAGCTGGGAAACCTTGTCAAAAGATCATCTAAGGTGTTGGTGAAGTCTTGCATGCTGTAAACCCACTCGAGATATTTTATGATGGCGTAGAGGCAGTGAGTGGAAAGGAACAGTTTGGCTGGTCGACCATTCAGCGACTCCGGTTGGATTGTTGAGGGCTGGCTTGAAACTTGGAGTTGATGTGAGGACACTCTTTAGAAATCCTTTTGCTTTGGACTCAGAAAGTTGAGTGAGCGAGTTTCCATCAAGAGGGAATACTGGTAATTATGTAATTACTCTGTACCTACGAAGGATCCTACGCAGCATTTGTAAATCTTGTGATAGTTATCCTATTTGAAGCGGGATTAATTGGGTAACTAACTATCTATCTAGTTATTGTTCCATCTGTGGCACCAACAGTAACCAACCATCCCGCATAAGAAATAAACTCACAAGAGTCACGCAACGACTCACAGCATAACTCCCCCGGGCCGTTCCCAGGGACTGTTCGCAACTGTGGAATAAGTTGATGGAGCGCGCTTCGAGAGTTCGCACCCTGCAACCCTCCAAGATTGTGAGACATACCGGCCGCAGCGCATTCCCGTAAAAGCAAAGCAAGCAGAAGAAACTCAACCACGGCCTTTGACTGGCCAACTTGCAACCGTTTTGCTGCGACCGCCTCTTGCCCCCTTACAACGCTAACAACTACTGCAACTGGCTGACACTCCACGAATTGTCCAAGGTAACCTTTCTGATCCCACAAAGCCTGGGGCTGTGCGATGCTTGCGAGTGGCGTTTGGGTTCAGGGCTGGGCAAGAAGCGGTCCTTTACGAATTTTGGTGTCCGAGTTCCCAAAAGGAGAGCGAAAGGCTGTGTGTAGAATGTGAAGCCAAGCGTGAACCCTCTAAGTTGGTTTGAAGCCCCTCTTCAAGGGGATCAGTTTCAAGCTCTTATGAGCGGAGAAGACGAGGAGGTCGACCTGATCATTTCTTACTTTTTTCTATCATTCTTCTCTTTTTCCCGCTCTTTATCACCACCCCAGACGTTCTACGTCCTTGACAAGGAGTCCCTCTACACTGCTTTGACATCCATCATCTCCATGCTGCCTTGAACGTTTTCTTTTGGTGCAAAATATTTCAGGCCTTAGCTTCAGGTCGAGCATACAGAGCCTCGCACTGTTTCAAAGGCTGTTTGCCCCCCTCAGGCGAGGACCCGCACCACAATCTCAATGCGTGTGAAAAGCCATCGTTCTATCTTTGTATCACGAAGCGCTGAGAGTGCTCCCTGCAACAACCAGAGGCTAGCCTCTTCCAACGAAATCGTTTATAGCTGGCTACCCAATATACCTCCTGAGAACTTCCCAGGTCGCAGCAAGTTTAGTGTATCCGACGGAACCTGTCTGCTCCCAGGCATTGAAGAGACTCTTGCTCTTTTCCGTCGTTGTTATTCTTAGGAACCAGCACTTTACAGCATGAGGCCGCGAGTGCAGGTTATTATTTCGAATAATAACGATTATGAGCATCATAACACCCACGGCAGGTATTCATACCTGCACACTCCAGCAGAGCTCCATGCTCCGACATTTCCAAAACAGAACCCATCGCAGAGAATCCCCTCGGTTCCTGCGAATGCGGCAGAACCGCCTTTTCCAACACCGTTAGACCACCGCACCCATAGCCGCCCTTTCTCATATATACCGTCAGTCATGCATCATGACATCCTGGAGAAGCCAACGTCCTCACACCCTCATACTCAAAGCGCACCGCCATTATCAGAACACCCGGCACATTTTGCTCCATACGCAGATAATATAGAAAACGCAACCCCAAATGTCCAAAGCCAGCCGAGGATATCTCCGTTTCCTCAGCTCCCCCCAAATGTCGTACTATTCCCTACTCGGAGCCAGTTCTTGATCAAGTCCCCATCAGCCGCACATGAGCAAGAAGGACGAGAAAATGAGTTCATAATTGGGCCCGACAACAACCCGCTGGAATCACATACTACTTCGCCAGCATATAACCCGCGATCTATCACCCCAGCCTTTCGTGTGGGCCATATTACGATACCAAACAATCACGATCTAGGCCATGTTACAGGTCATGTGACGCATCCAAATCAAGGATTGAGAGGCGATACATGGGTTCATGGACTCTGTGATTGCTCAGATTTCGGTACTTGCTGTCTGGGAATATTTTGCCCGTGTATTCTATACGGTCGGACGCAGTATCGGTTGAACAGGAAATCAGATCTAAAGGACCCTACAAACCTACTAGGCTATGAAACCTGCAATGCATCCTGCACTGCGATGGCTCTCTTATGCGGATGCCAATGTACGTATTTCTCCCCTACATCTGAGCCTGGGCCTTCCGTCCGTTTTCTATCTTTATCGTCTTCTTATAATAAACCACTCTTCCCTGTATGAATATACTAACTCAACCATGACAGGGCTAATGGCAACGATACAACATTCCCGCACCCGTCGTGCGTATGCAATACCGGGTAGCATTCCATCAGACTGCGTTCGGGCAACTTGCTGCACATGCTGCACCCTCATCCAGGATGAGAAAGAGATCAAAGTTCGAGAAGAAAGCGCCCGACAAATGGTCTTGACGCCCTACCTTCCACCTAGCCATATGACGTTCAGTCCCCCGCCGCGCTAATATTTACCTTCATAGCTATCGTCTTTATAATGGGTATAGTTTAAGTAAATATTTACAAACACCTCCAAAATTATGACATTCCCTCGACATCATCCCCTTTCCAACTTACGAACGACGAGACTAGCAAATGAAAGGAAAAGAAGAAGCAAAAAGAACAAGTTATGTACCTAACGGCCACCCTCCTTTCCTCTACTCCATTACCTAAACATTCTACTTTACGAGCTCCGGATACACACCCACATTTCATAGAGATTCGCCCACTTAAATACCCCCTTACAGTATGATTTAACGAATGCAAGCTTAGTTTTCGTGTGATACCCTCTTCTTCGAGTCCTGGAAAGAGCAATATTTTCCATTTACCTATTTTACCTTTCGCCATGTATATAGAGTAAGATATAGCTGTTTCTAACGGTTCAGCCAGATATTTACACTGGACTGGTCGATCTGTAGCGCAGTATGCATTGTTTTCATATATTTTGTCCCATTTTCCACTTTCATTCCATTCTTTTTTCAAAAAAGATATTTAGATGCATATCAGTTCATAATCCCCTTTTCCTTTGAAAGCAAAGGACAGGGGTTTGTCAATACAATTCTGTCAAATTCTTGTGGGGCTTGACGAAGAACCAGATGATCCTGTCTGTGAGTAGTTATGCATTTTATGAATGAGAACAAACACAATATTTCTCGTTATTTCTATTATTGAGTATTACCCAGTCTGGGATTAATTCATATGTCTGATTGTTTTAATTTGTCATAGATGCATGCAGTCATGATGATTTTCATTCCAGTTTGAAAGGTGATTTCTTATTGCTTCAAGTCTGTACATAAATGAGCATGATATGCACAACAGTTTATTCATTAACATAAAGTGCAATGACTATTTTTGCCATCTGTTGTATCATTATTAATTTAATTCAGTCCTCTGTTTACAAGCTATCTAGATATTTCTTCACAGTACTCCGTTTTCTGCCTTTCTCTCCTAATGGCCCTCGGCACCAAGACTCTACAGATCTTGGCACCATCTCTTGGCATTATAAGCTTTTCAAACTTTAAGTTTCCCGCTAAACCTAAGGATTCACAACTTTCTATTGGTGAAATTTATACATCACGTGATATATCATCCCCAGACTGGTTATTTCTTGGCGAGGGATGTAGCTGACTAAGCTGAATGAATACGAGACTTGAAACCTTATCTCATCCAATATGCTCTTCAATCAGGATTTCAACGACAATCCATCTACACGAATAACATTGTCTGCTACAACCAACTGGTCTGGAATGGAATAAAAGAATGCTAATTTTGAAGACGGAACAAGGGAGAACCTCGCAAGAGATGAACACCAGAGTATCACGATTTGTTTAAGCCTTTGCCCCTGCGCCTCTCTCCTTCCACCATGCCTCCTCCATCCAAGATAACGGCGTAAGCCAAAAGGGATTCTTTTTTTCCTCTTCGACTGGCTGCAATAGCTAGACCAATTTCATACACTCATTTCTAGCAATTCTGAGCGTATCGCCTTATTTTTCCCTGCCCCTCCTGATTTTCGTCGCCACGAGTCGCACGTGTGTTCCCCGAACGGACACCGAACATACAACACCCAGGCCGTGGCGGTGGCGGTAGTCCCTGATTTAACCTTGTCCAAGCCCACTTCAACGGCATTGGAATCAGGGTGGGCCAAATTGACATCTTTTTTCTGTTGACATGGGACATATTTTGTGGACGAATATACCTTGATTACTCAAGTTGATCGGAAGAGGTATATACATTAGAAAACGGATAATTACCTGCTTCTGCCGGCATTCGTTTGATCTCTTTACACCAAAGACTACTGGATGTGCGGATGGCACTTGAGCACAACTCCCTGGACCGTGGGCACTGGACGTTATGAGTTTTGTAGGATGGCTATTGTCTCGCAATGCGTCGGACCCTTCTCACCCAAGTTGCCCGATCACTGCATTGGCGAAAGGGGGTAAGTAATTACCTGGATTGTCTCCTGTCTTTTTCTCACTCATATCCTCATAGGTGTTGCTGGTTCTGATACTAATTGCATATGGGGTTTCTTACATCTCTAGGCACCATAATCATAAATAATACCTTTACTCTTACGCTAACTGAAAATGCTGTTTTCAAGCCATCTTGCACGGAAGTTCCTGTAGTCAACATCGAGAATCCAACTTCAATTGCTGACATAGACCAGCCTTTCTACGCTTCTACCTCACCCCAGATGTATGCGATCGCCACTGCCACCGTGGTCAGTTACCTTCTCGTAATCATCCTCTTCATAACACCGCGCACATTCTTTATCGGAGGTCGTGGTGGTGGCGGTGCCAGCTTCCTCGGGAGGCGTGGGAGGTTCACTGGCTCGTATGGCGGTTCATCCGTAATTGGCGTTGGTGGCCGTCCGTGGCTGCAGAAAGTTGCTGCCGTTACAACTGCAGTATCTCTAAGTATTGCGACGGCGGACTCTTTCCGCGTTGCTAAAAGTCAATATGACCGCGGCTACATAGACTCCAGCGCTCTGGCTGCTGAAGTCATCGGTGGTGTGGAGATTCGGATAGTCCGCATTATTTCGAGCACCTTTCTTTGGCTGGCACAGGTCCAGACTTTAATTCGTTTGTTCCCACGCCACAAGGAGAAGGTCATCATTAAATGGACTGGATTTGCATTAATTGTGCTTGATGTAATATTCAGCCTTCTCAACAGCTTCATAAACCGAACGCTTATGGCAAGACAGCCGAGGAATATCGTGGAAGCGATACCGGCGCTCAACTACTTATTCGATTTGTCCCTGAGTTTGCTATATGCCGCTTGGGTTATTTTTTACGGTCTTTCTAAACACCGTTTTGCCTTCTTCCACCCCAAAATGCGCAATATCTGCCTGGTGGCTCTGTTGTCTTTAATTGCAGTTCTTATACCCATTGTGTTCTTTGTGTTGGATCTTTCGAAGCCTAATATAGCCGGATGGGGTGAGTATATTCGCTGGGTTGGGGCAGCAGCGGCGAGTGTTGTCGTTTGGGAATGGGTCGAACGGATTGAGGCTCTGGAAAGAGATGAGAACAAAGACGGAATTCTTGGGAGAGAAATCTTTGATGGGGATGAAATGCTGGAGGTCACCCCATCGGAGGAGGTCGATTGGCCCGGTCAACGAAGTAATAAACCTAACGGCGGAGGAGGTACAGGATCCGGGCCAATCTGGGGTCTAGCTCACAGACCACTGAAGACACGAATCACGCTCCAGAGCCGCCTACCGCGGACGATCAGAAAATCCGGACAGAGGAAAACAACCCCAAGTTCTCTACTCACTGTTGCTGGTGTAGATGCACATCTTACCCCTACCCAGCTTACTACGACTCCAGTCAGTCGAGCGGATACTACTAGTGCTGCTAGCACTGTGTATAGGGTCCGCTATCATTCCATGAGGAGTTTCATTTCCCCAAACGTAAATTGTGCGCCAGATGAGCAACACCGGAAGGAGTTTGCGACCCCCATTAACCGAGCAAGTAGCGGCATTGGTCAATATGATATATTGCCCCCGAAACCTGTTAAGCAATGGTTCAGGTGGATAGCGGTCCCGAACCCATTTAAACGACAGCGCGCCTCTCCGCCCATAGAAGTTGCAACAGCCCAGGCAACAGTAACGCAAACTTCGCAGCCAGATTCTTCCTCAACAGACTTAGCAGATGACACTGCTGAGAAGGATAAACCCCGAAACATTAAATCCAAACTCGACATGATTCTTACATATCTCCCCTGGGAAAAAGGCAGATGTGCTCATGAACATCAGGATTCTGAAGCATCTCTGCCAGTCACGGTAATTCCGGCACCAGCAAGGGTTTCACGATTGCAATCACCACACAGGCACAGAGAGGTACCTGCCGTATCAACAGAGGAGAATTACATTATGCGGCAAGACGATTCCAATCTCCCAGTGATGCTAATTCCTGTGCAGCCTCGGTCATCAAGGGCCTGGTCGCGGACTACTGTGGAGCCACCATCCCCGGATGAGGATTTGAACAGCACAGCAGGTGGTACCTCTCCTCATTCCAGAACTCCGATTGAAACACCCCAACTTGGAGATTCAAACGAGCGTGGTAGATCCGATTTATTTGTATTGGGCCGCACAATATCGTCTAGAACAACAAATCGTGCTTCTTCAACTTCGATATCGTCCGTTCATGCTTACAACAGGGGTGCGCGACGAATCTTTTCGGGGACGGAAGTGCCTGTATTGAGGGAGGAAGAGGATGCGATCATTCAGGTTGTCATGGAAGATGCTTCTTCCTCTGAGGATTCTGCTTCTTCTCCTCCTTCTTCTGAACCTATCCATTCCACCACGGAACAACCACTCAATGATGAAGGGCATATCAATGCCCCGCCTGGCCCATCGCCATCAATGTCGTCACCCACTCCCACGACTCAATCTCGACATGTTTCCTTTTCGAGCACAGATCACGGTCGAGATAGAGATCGAACTCACTCAGCTACTCAACCAGTATCGTCAACAAATCTTGACCGTGGTGACATCGGCGTTGGTGGTAGTTCCCAACTCAGAGATATTGATCTTGAAGTGCAGCACCGTCATTGAAAAGACATTTCTCTGGGTGTGACTTTCAGTTAGTATGATATACACTAACTATCTCCTCGGCTGGAGGCGAGGCAACATTAGGATACTTTTCTGCTGGGCGGATTATGAGCTCAGATTAGCTCCTTACTGCCACTCCTGGTAGTATAGGTCAATTTTGGCCATGAGCGCAAAAGTACGCTAACATTGCCTCACCTCCAAGCAAGGACATGGTACAGAAATATACCTTGTCTCAGAAACCATAGCACCAAGTTATCTCTTCCTTTAACCGCTATTCTTCAGACGACTGGAGACGTATGCTCATCTCACTCTATACTCCGTATAGTTAGCTTATCTTGTATGGTTAGCGTGGAGTTTTCGTTTGGGGCTATGGAAATTGGCAAACCATTTTGGCCCAATGGGTTATGTATCATTTATTGGGATGGGAGGTTTTTCCGTGGAAGGAATCCTTTTTGAAGGGTGACCTGGATTTTGGTATAAAACATTGGATAGATAATCTTTGCTTGCCACTTATCTTGCTTGGGCAGTTTGCGTTACCTACGCTGAATGTTAAATTGAACTTTTGTTCACAGCAACTATATATAACTTCAATTTTATTTTGGATGCTATATCTTGACTCTTATTCTCTTGCCTACAATGTTCGAGGCTCTCGGCGTGGGTGAATTCTTCCATGGTTGGGATAAATAATTTCACGAACGATGCGTAAGAGTCCAGAAGAATTGTGACGTTAGAGAAAGTAACACACCAGGCATCCATCATGATGGATGCTCTGCGGGATGATCTCAGCTGACTATGGTCCTTGGCTCTCACTAGTTAAATACCGAGAGTTCCCCACGTCGCGGTTTATCTTTCAAGAGCGTCATCAATGGGAGCCTTCAAGCACTTCTCTAAACAATCGTTTGGGAGAAACCTCCTAGACAGCAACTCGCAACAGCTATCACAGCCCTCACCTCGTCAAGCTGCGAGTGAAAATACTGGGGTTTTATCGGATTTGGTAGATGTCATCAAGTGCCAACTGAGCGACTGAAGCAAGTAACCTATCGATGAAACATATTGACGGAAAAATATGTCCAACGTCCATGCCAACATGTTTGGAGCTTCTGTGGGCGATCTCGCAATCGCTCGCAAGAGGCCTTCCCTTATGTCTTTGCCTTTGAACCTCATTGCTGCAATTGTGGCGCATGTAAGTGCCTACGCCGCTTTTGCTGGAGAAAATTCTTGCCCTACGCCCAAAGAGCCGTTGCTGATCCGAAATCTTTTTCCTATGTAGCTAGAAAATGTTGCAGACCTCGCACGCCTCTGTCGCACATGTCGCGTGCTGAATTACATGACTCTTCCCCTGCTCTACAAAGATCTTTCTCTTACTTCGTACGACAAGATCAGGTACCGCGATGAAATCGCCGAAGGATGCGGTAGTGCCAGCCCGTTTTCCATGGCTTTAAACGTGGTGGTGACAAGGAACATGGGTGGGCTGGTGCGATCTTTAACATTGCGAGGGCATTGGAGGGAAGATGAATTAGAGGAGCATGCGAGAGTCGGGAGAGTACCAGACTCGTCAATGATGCTGAATATCGTGGTAAGGGCTGCTGTGGATAAGATGTCTGCTCTGGAATCTGTCAGGTATGAAGCACTTTTTTGGAGCAAGTCAAAGATATAAAGGAATTTTTTTTTCTTAGAAAAAGAAAAAGGGACATTTGCTGATAGGAATGATTCTTTTTTTAAATCTCTTCTCGTGGGATAATAGCTGGCAGCTTAACACAAAAATGCTGGAGACAGTTTATCAAGGTCTCGCCCAGCTACCTAATTTAACCTCGTTGACAGTGCGGTTTCCATCAAGTCGGCATCCCCGACCGACTGCTGTTATTCCGCCAATGCCACATCTACGATGCCTTAAGATCACCGATATCGACCCACTCTGTTACCCCGATGATATTTCCACGTTACTCTATGAAAGCAAAAAGCTTCGGGAGTTGGGATTGCACTGGTCTTCCCGCATGCGGGTAGAACATGAGGCCAGTGTCTCCCTGTCTGATTATTTTCGCAAGTGTCTTGCTGCTAAATCGCCGTTGACCATCAAAAAGATATCGTTCCAAAATCTATATGCATTCCACCGGGAGGAGGTTATGCATGCCCTGGACCACTCCGTGCTTGAAGACTTAACCTTGCTTAACGCTCCAAAGGGTGCAGATGATAATGTATCTTTCGTGGAGTACAGCTGGCCGTTGCCAAAATACGAGATGAAAATAAAATCCTTTCGGTCTGATCGCTTTGATACAAGGAGCTGCGAGTTCTTGGCCAAGGTTACAGAAGTGGAACGGCTATATCTGGTGAACGGCTTCCGAAATGCTGGCGATTACATCAACAGTCCCAGAAATTTATACTCGCACTCCTCCACAAGCCCTACGCCATCTTCTAGTGATGTATCTTCTCCTAAACGAAGCAAAAATGCATCTGCTAATTGCGCATACCCCGCGTCTAGAGCGCATATCGTCAATTTCACATCTCAGTCCCATCAATCCATGTCTAATTTTCAACCCTATGTACGTGACTTATTTGTCCAAACAATTACCTCCACGCAAGGACCTAGACTCCGTCATCTTCTCCTCCCTTCTCGATGGCCTCTTCCGCCTGCCCTGATCGGACGCCTTGTGCGTTCATGTCCCAATTTAGAGCAGCTTGCTCTAGCAACGGAGTTGTCCAGCATGGAATCAGTCAGCTTTCTTCTCCCATTTTTACTGAAACTCGTTGCTCTTCGACTCCTTATCCCAACTTCTTATGCCGCCTCCGATTCCAACTCAGGGCAAGGGATTTTCAGTCATGATGCCCATCAAGTGGTTGATATGGATGACCGCATCCACAACGAAACAATGGGCGCGTCGTTGGCGGATATGGAATTATTTGGAACATTGAAAATAATCGGCCTTGGCTGGAAGGCATGGGAGCTGGGCGAATTTTATACGATTCCCCGCTCTGAAGCGACGCGCGAGTTCCGTTTTATGGAGGCGCATGCAATTGCATTGAAATATCAATCTATGACTGCTAGTCACTCATCTTCCTCATGTCTAACGCCTGCAGGGGCGGGAGGGCCGCCAGAAGGGAACATCACGATTCCAGAAACCGGCCAACACGAGCGTCAAAAGACATCAAAGACATGGCCGACGACATTATCCTCGCTGGGAAAACGAAAACAGCCTCCAGATAGTAACGGCGATAGCAGCATTAATGGCAACCATAAATGCGATAACATTAGCAATCTCGATTCGCCATCCTCGCCCTCTCCTTCCCCCATCTCAGCTTTCACGATACCCACAAACCAACAATTCCCACAGGCTACATCCCGAACCTCCCCTTCCTCTACAACGGCAACATCCGTCACTCCACCGGCCGAATTCCAAGCCCAAGCGCAACCCACTAACCCCTCTATAACACGTCTACAACCGTCTCCGCCTTCTCCGTTCGAACTCAATCCGCCTTTCACTTACAATAGCACTGGCGAGCTTGTATCCCAAGAGATCATCACAGAAGTGACTCGTTGCATATTCACAGAGCAAACTAGAGATTCCGAGGTGCTTCATCGACGCCGCGTGAAGCGGGTGGGGTGGGAAGTGCTGAAACATTGGGAGATTTGGGGGTTGGATGTTCAGGAAATTTGAAGGAGGGATGGCAGTTGGAAGTGTGGGGTGTACGGTAATTTTTACTTCTAATTTGTTTTCCTCCTGGGTTAGCTAGCGGAGTCTTGGATAAATTTCTAGGGTGTAATTTTTCCTGGAGGGTTTTTGCGAGTCTGAAGCTGGAGCATTTGTACAGATAGTAATATTTTATTTCGAGACGACGTGACAAAGCTAGTTTGAAAGTCTAGAATGAGCAGATAGTGCTAAATATATGATAAGCTGGTTATGTATTTACAGATAGAGGGCTACATATTTCATTGAAGTGCAGACTCATGGCCATCGATCAAGCACTGCTCGTAAGTCTCTTGGAAACTTCAGGTGTCAGACAGATCATCCACCACACAGGGAATCAAAAATTATATATGATCTATGTTGAGTTGCTCTTCAAGTATTTTGTTAGTAGCTGACAAAATGACATTGGATGGAAAACAAAGGATGATTGGAAGTAGTTAGCGGAGAAAAAAAAGTTAACAATTCTCACCCAAAAAGCCATTGAAATCAGAGCTGTTGTTAAGGATAATCAAATAAAGACAAATCTCTCAACCTGCTTCGTTGGCGTAGACTTTTCTCAAAGTATAACTACACTACTGCTCACAGGTGCAGATAAATAATCACCTTGATAGCTTTGGCTGACACCCCTGCATGATCTTTGCAGCATAGAATCTCTGCTGGGTGTAGTTAAGATTGACTCACTCTTCTTCTATAGCAATTAGTCTATCAACTGAAATACTGCCCAGGGAAGCCCCTATTGCTCCAGATAATATGATTGAATCTTTTGACAAATTATGCCAAACAACGATTTCAACTGAGATATTAACATACGACCATGCAAGTTTAGGCCGGGATGAGATTTTGATCACTCCTAAAATACATTTGACAACTGACGACGCGCGCCAGGAATTACAAGAGGAATCGAAATACCTGCTACACTTGGAGGACTGGGAGAAAGAGTATGCGATCTGAACAACGGAGCCTTTCTTCCAGGGTAACATAACTGTCTAACCATCTAGCTAAAAGCACATATATAAGTAGCTATATTAGATACAAAAACACGATACAGATATGTATATGGAAAAAAATGTCAGGATATCAATATGTACTGATCACTGATCACTGACCAGGACTGAGGGGACGAAAAATGTACAGATTTGAGGGGGGGGAAGATGATAGAAATAAGAAGTCAGAAGGCAGTGAAGGGTTTTAAGGGAATGTTGACCAACAAAAAAGAACATATCAATATGCAAAAAGTGGGATAAACAAAGTCCAAACAAAGGAAAAGAAGAAGAAAAAAAGGAGGAAAATATCCAAACATGCAGTCTTAAAATTGAAATACGGAACCCCCCCCCCCCCCCCCCCCCCCCCCCCCCC